ACAAATAACCATATATTAGAAAATGAAAACAGTATTTTCTATTTCTTATTATTTACTATGGGGAATAGTAAGCTAGTAAACCTTTATTACATGATCTACATAATATGTAAATGAACTGGTTTTAATAGTGTAATATAACGGTTTTTTATTTTCGAAAACAACAGTACAACCATCATAATGGTTCCATATTTATAAATAATAGAATTATACGATAATACAAAATACAAATTAACAACACAAAAATCATAATTCGAAAATAATACATCTGATCAAATGTACATTTGAATATTACTTTACTTAAATTATGACAGTACAACAGCAAAGGATCAGCCTGATTGCAATTAGAGAATGACTTTTAGAATATTCAATAGTTGTTACAGGATTACTCTATATATTGTTTTCACAACTCATATATTAATATCAAAAGTGTATATTATCGCATTAACTAGTTTTGATAATTAATAATTGAGGTAATAGAATTGTTGCATATATTCAGTTGTTGTGTTTTTTTATTTATACTTTATTTTTAAAAAGAAATAAGGCGCAGCCACAGGTAAATGTAAATTGCTGTTGTAAAGTGTTTTCTAACGCAATATTATTATCATTACATTTATTCACCAATATTAAACTCAAATCCATTAATTATCTTATTCAAATAGTATTTCAACAGTACTGGCATATAATCATAAATAAAGAAATGAGGTAGTCGTACACAAAAACTTATCTATTTTTATGATATGGATGATATTTCGAAATGATTTTCAAAAAGTGACTGTAGGTTCCTTAATCTTGATGGAAACTAGTCTAAAATGGGAAAATACCTATTTTATGATTGATATCGTATTTAATAATTCGTTTTGCATGGAATGATTCTTCTGGCAGAAATACGCTATTTTTGACCATTTGCCAGTGCAATTCGAATATCAAAAATACTTACTCAACATTATATCCAAAGATCATTTGATCGAATGTAGTTAGGAATGAAAACCATTTTAGATTCTTTCATATTTCAAACTATTGTTGCCATGACTTATCATATTCAAACATTATTTTTTGGATTTTGGATACAGCGTACATTCTTATTTTTGCAAATACAAATATAGTACTCTCAGTATTTTCACTTGTGATAGTAATTCAATTTTTATGTGTTCTTATAAACGTCTATTTTGTATTTTTCCAATAAGAGTAATAACCTCCTTTACATTTATATGTGTATTTTTATTATTATACTTATTATGATTTTATAACAAAACCACTATTGTAAAAATGGCTATTAAATATTATTCCAGGAGTTATATCTTAGGCATAGTACTTTCAATATGTTCTTATGTATGATAATTCATTTTATAAAGTGACGAAATAAAATCAATAATATTCTGTAAAATAAACGCTACTTATTTCTTATTTCCTTTTTTGTGTTTTTTCTTAAATACCAACAAACAATGCCAATCCTCTAGCTTTGTGGTACCCATTCTTCATCCACCGGACGAGATACAAATTTATAGTTTATAGGTGTATACGAAATATTGGTGGTTTTGTAATATCTATTTTCGATTTTTATTTGATATGTATTTTGTATACTTAAAAAATAGTTGTTTAGAATCTTTGTACAAAACTTTTCATTGTTTCCTCGTTCTTGCCGTAATGCTGGTAATGCCTGGTATTTTGCATCCATTGATTTGATAGTGCCAATATTGTTCACCAATGCTGATAGAACAGCTTGGTCTTGTCTATGATTTGTCATATTCGATCCTTGTGGAGATATGCACCTCTGTGTATAAGCACATTGTTGATATGGTATTATCACTCTGTTTATGACAGTTTTATTGGACCAATCAGTAATCAAATGACCGCCACAACCCATTCTCCATTTTGGGTCAAATGAGTCAATAAAATGGTTTTGCTCTAAAAACTTGATCGTAGTAATATGTGTCCATTTTCCTGCACCACCACCAGATACAGGAGTATAGATTCCTTCAAGACGAGCATTTGTCACTTCTCTGCTGATTCCATCTCGGATAAGACTTCCTCCATCAATCCAAAATGTTATTGCTTTCCACGAAAACAAAGCATCCATGTAGGACACAACTTTCCAAGTATAACCACCACGCTGATCCTTATTCTCAAACAGGTTCATCCATTTGGGAAAAGAACTCCAATTGAATTTGCGATATGCGATAAACCCAGTGGATTTCATTTTCTTCTGAATCTCATGAATTGTTTCGAAATGAGCAAACAACTTCTCCTTCAATTCAGGTGATAAACCTAAATCAATATACATATATGAGGCATAAGGATCTGCCAAAACCATAGAATACAGACAATTAAAGGAACCATAACCATGATTATCTGATGCCCCTGTCATCATCAATACATCTGAAGTGTGTAAATGATAGGTGGGAATATCTCCAGTTAGAAGAAATGGTAATGATTTATTTGCAATTCCATAGTTCTCGTAGTGTGTTGAAACGTCTGATACTAATTGATTGAAAGGAACAGGATACTCAATATCGTCATAGTCATATTCTATACAATCATAAGAATGGCAATGCACTACGATTTTTGGAACAGCATCCAAATCTTGGCAGCTTTACAGGGTAGGAAACAATATCATTTACTTTATACAGTGTTTGTACTGTCGAGCCATATACTTCTTTTGCTTCTTTACTTTTCCTTATAGTGGAAAGTATGTACATATATACAAAGAATGAGCAAAAGGAAAGTGCATAAAATATAAAATGCATGCTACTTTCTTGTAAAAAAGAATTTGAACTTTTTAACATATCTTGTTATGATCTATAATGCCATTTGATGTTATGCTATGAATGCATAATACTTTATGCATTTGATTCATTTTAGGCTTGTATTATTTGGACATTTGTAAGTATGACAAACAACCAAAATATCATTTTAGTAAAGTAGTATTGAGTCATATTACTTGTACATTGTCATACAAATGAGTGAAATATAGAGATGAATCAAGTTGTTACTAATTACTTGTACAGCGAAAACTATTCGTAAGCAAATGTTACAAAACATTCTCCATATTGTTCTAAATTAGTCTTGATATTATTATTATTACGTCAGTATCAGCAAACACAATGAAGTACTATAATGATGTGTTGTCGTATAGATTTCCTTTTTTGTGTATAATATAGATGAGGGAGTTCGGCAACTGCAAGCTATTGTCGTCGATCGATCGATCAATCTTCATCTCCTCCCTGTTCATGTTTGTATCGAAAGCAATTTGCTGGTCACTTGTTTACAGCTCTATCAGAGTTGGAATACCGTCGATAACCCCGAAAGAGTCGGTAGAAGACAGCTGCAGTTACCCTCTACCGTCTGATCTCTTCCTTTCTATGTGAAATGGATGATTCATCACGCTGAACAAGATATTCGGAGCCGCAATCCTCCCACCCCGCTGTCTGCTTTGATTTCAAAACCATTATCGCGAGTTCAGCTATACGAAGAATCGAGACATACTCGCATCGAATCCTTAAAGATTTCACCTGTCAATCTGTCAATCTCTCTGGCTTTGGGATCCCAGTCTATGTCCTCGAGTTATGACTATTTCACTATTCAGGATTTGAAGTGTGTTTTCCCACAGATCAGAAGTATCGATGAACGATATCTTCGACGAATCAGCTATGTGCTTTCTCAGCTATTGTCCACCTATCGCAAGTCCTTGCTGTTCAGTCTTCTCTTTATCGGTTTGGAGAGCAAAACACCTGACAATCTCTATCGATTCGTTTCTTCCTTCTATCAAAACATCAAAACGTTGGGAGAGAATGTGATTACCGCTTTATCCAATTGCACATTGTCACTTGTTCGCATGCTTTCCTATGTGAGCGAGTACATCGATGCACAGATCGTGAATATATCTCTGTCTGGAATCGATGCAATGATGGATTTCACAAGTTGGCTCTACATATTCTTCCAACAAGTGAACGTTTTAGCGATTCCACACACGCTCCATGGGGAAATCACACTGCAAAGTCCCTACATCAAATCGAAAAAGCGTTATTCCTTGTTTGGAAGACTGTGGAATCAGAATTCAACATTGATGTGGTATATGATAGGAACGATCGGAATGATCTCGCGTCCTCTGAAAATGGTTCTCTTCGATTTCCAAACAATGCGACATTATCTTGACGGTGAACAAGTCAACAAAACGCGAGCCAAACCTCCCAATGTAGCGATTGAAGGCATTGTAATGGTAAGAATTTGAATTGGATTTGATTCATTGTAGCCTTTTGATGAAATTTACAGCAAAGGACGTGAGTTGTTGACTCGTGTAGAAGATGGAAGACTGTATTTCGGTGTATTGTTTAGGCAATGCGTACATATTAACGACAAGGAATCATTTACTGATTGTTCAAGAGAAAATATCGGAGATTGTTTTACGATGCTGTGTGGCTTTCGATGAATGCTGCAAGGTTTATTGTTGGAGGAATGTGGATACGAACAATGTGGAGTTGTGTTTTGTGTGTATGAAGAATTGTTCGTTGTTCAAGAGTCGATGGGATCGGATTCAGCTGAAATTGGAAGAAGAGTGTGTGAATATGGGGAAGAGTGAAGACACTGAGAAGAGGTGTGAGAAACTGATTGGTATCATCGAGAATGAGAGAAGAAATCACAGTTATAGTAAGTTTTGGAGAGGAGGAATGAGTTATAGTTTGGAGATATCAATATTCGTTGAATACATTAGTCCAGTTGGAGTGACTTGTTTGTTGAAGAGTAAATGAATGTTGTGTGTGATGATTTGATGAAATAGAAAGAAATGGAATGATTTGATTTGATTTGATTAGGAGTGAAAGAACAGATGATTCTTCACAGAATGAATGAATGATATTGATGATTCTATCTTATGCAATCATTATCGATTGTCTTAATGTAGTTCAATGCACACTTGGTATAAGAAATCCTTGCCAATGGTTTCATTCCATCTTGATATTTCACCAAACATCCATCCACACACACAGTATTCGAACAAACACTCCACCAATGACGATTCCACCCTTCCTTCCTTCCTTTCTTCATGTAGCCTCACAATCAGCTTAGAGAGAAGCTCTCTTGGCCTTCTCAGCAGCGATGGCAGCGGCACGAATGCTCAGCTTGCGCTGAGTCTTCAGTCCCATGATACCGCCACCCCACTTCTTGTTCTCGGCGTACTTGGTGGTGAAGCTCTCCTGCAGCGAGTTCAGCGCCGCCTCGTCCTCAGGGTTCACTCCCGTCAGACACACGCAAGTAGCGGTCTTCTGGTGCACCAGAGCGCCCAGACGGCCCTTGCCGCTCACGATCGCGTACGCAACGCCCATCTTGTGGCACAGAGCGGGCAGCCACATCACCAGCTCCAGGGGATCCACGTCGTTGGCAATCAGAACCAGCTTGGCCTTCTTGCGCTCCACCAGCTTCGTCACGTTGTCCAGACCGTACTTCACAACCAGAGCACGCTTCTCCTCCACGGGCTTGCCCTCAGCCTTCGCCTTGGCAGCAGCCTCCAGACGAGCCTTCTTCTCGGCCTCCGTCTCAGGAGCGTACTTGTTCATCAGACGGAACACCTCAGCAGCCTGGTTCTTGTCCAACACATGGCTGAACTGGTTCACGGTGGGAGGAACCTTCAGACGCTGGCTCAGAATCTTACGCTGTCTCTGGATGATCACATAACGAGACTACTTCAGGAATCGGGAGAGATCCTTCTTAGGCTATGAAATTAGGCCGAACGGAGCGCTATCGTACCAGAACATCTCCTCCAATGCGGAAGTTCTTGGGAGTAGCAGCAAAGATGGGAATTATAGATTTAGCAGAGTCCTTAGCCTTAGTCTGGACATTAGAGATAGAAGCGAGCAAAATACCGAAGACATAGCTTGAATCGTCAATGAAATAACTGGGAGAATTAGAAATCAACTATTCATCAACATAATATATAGAATCAACAACAAAACTAAGGTCATAGCATTCTCTACCAGATCTTTAGAGTTTCAATAGGGTAGTAGCATTCACAAGTATAATCGAAATGACATCATTTGATGTACATATTCTAAGAGAACATTCCATAGATTTACAGCAAGACAGAATACAAGAAAATTCCAGGAAGCTGCTAAGCACTTTTCATGTGATTTAGAAGAGCAGCGACTGCAACTTGAAATTCTCGAAGAATTGTATCTCAAAATGGAATCGCTTATAATAAATGTGTTCTACAACTATGGAAATCTTCCTTATCCATTTTTCTAATTTCGGCAATCATGCTCTTTCTATTGATGTATTCATAATATAACAAACCAATCGATCAAATAATGATAATATGATATTCGAAATTATGAATTGAAACAAACATACCAATATTTCCAAAATAAATCTGTTCTTGGTTTCTTATTGTAATCTACATCCCATTCAAGTTTGGGTGCTTCATAAGGATAAACGGCTTTCTTCATTTCTGCACTAGATGTTATAACATTGACTCCTTTGGCTGTGGTATTGCATGTGCCGCTTAAGAACCATGCTCTAGGTTTATTTATTAGTTCTCTATCTTTTCCATTCATTATTTCACATTGATTTGGACTTCCATGAATCCATCGTAAAGGACCTGTCGCAACCACTGAACTCCTGTAACAACGAGCAGGACCTGAAAATACTCCCTTTTCCGTAATGCCATGGGAAGCCCAAAAATAGTTACTGCTCAACCATCTAAATGAAAACAACTTGTCTCGGTATTCTTTCATGGTTGTATGCATCGGACTTTGATCATCAAAAATGTGTTTTCGTGCTTGGAGTTTATAAGTTCTTATCCAAAATTCATAACTTCCTTTTCCCCATTTTGATAATACGGCTCCTCCAGAAGGATAAGGTCCACGGTTCACTCTACAAGAAAACGATATATCAATATTGGATTTTTTGAATTGATCAAAGATATCTGTATAGGACTTATTATCACAAGGATAAACATGAGTATCCGTGATAAAAGAATAATTGAATGGAAGATAAGCATTGTACAACACACGAGTGAGCCATTGCTTGCTACTGGTTTGCACCACATCTTCATTATGAACTGGGACAATCACATCAATTAGCTTTGCAGTTGATGCAAGTATGTCACAGTTAGTAACTACAGCAATTTTGGCATTAGGATCTTTTGCCTTAACAGCTGCACTATTCCTTTCCACCTCCTTTAGATATCTTGGATTTTCACCACATCTGTTTTGAGTATACAAGTAATAAACAATCCCTCGTTCCATAATTGGTGGTCGCGGATTAGGAAACGATTTGTGGACAAACAAAGATTGGATTTGTCTATAATCATCAAATATAAATTTACAAATACAATTTAGGATAGCACTGAGTAGAATGAGCATATTCTGGATAGACTAACGTAGAATTGCAAACGTTGCTTTGATTAGTATGCGTATTATTGTATGATATGCCTGTAGTTATTCCATTCGTTATTGAATTAGTATTAATTGATTCCTTGATAGGCAGTATTTCTTTGTCATTTTCTTTCAGAGATTGATTGAAATAAAATGAATAATACTGACATAATATAGTAAATATAAACGAAATAGATAAAATAATTCTAAACATTAAAGTAATTATATATGACTTTTTTATTCTACAGAAGGAAAAGAGTGTGTGTAATAAGTGAAAAATGATAAATTAAAAAGTATATCCCTATTGATTCACTGTAACGCAATAAGTAAATATTAGTATTACCTACGTAATCTGTTAGGTAATACTAATTGTATTATACATACATTGCATATGTAATTTGATGAGTGTGCTATTGGCCACATTGTTGTAAAAGTACTATACAAAAATAGAGTTTTTAATTGTAAAAAAATAAGAATTTATATATATTGGTATGAAGGCCAATTACAGATAAACAAGTCGTAATGACTCAAAAATGAAAAAGAACAAACAAGTAAATTGTTTTCTAAGCATAGTAAGAATATGACCACAATTTTTATCTTTTTTTCTGGTGTAAAATATACTATTCCATATACTAATAATATATATGTAAATCAATTTAAAGAGATTAGAAACAATACACTTAAGGAATATATAAAAATACCAACTACGTATTATTATTATTTAATACAGTTTTATAGTGATAATTTACAGATGAGATGACTCTATTCAGCACTATTTTAGTGTATGAAAAAACTATCTACATATTTTCAAAAAATAACAATAGGCATATATTAATATTCTATTTTTATTCTCTCTGCTGTAAAATACATGTGGTGCTTCAACGCTTACAAATTAATGCCTATTTCATACCAATATGTAAACATGAATATATGCATTTGTAACTACTAGATAACACTTATGTACCCTTGTTATTCTATTCATACTTTTTTGTAATCCAAAAAAATAATGGTTCATCTAATAATCAATCAGAATAAATATGTAATTTCTTTCAGAAACTATTTTTATTTTTATATACTACTGATTCTCCAGCGAGCATACTAAAAGTGTTATTTTACTAGCCTGATGATATAATTACTTGATGTGGAAATACATATACGAAAGCACAATTATTATATAGAAATTAAATGAATATCGAAAAATATACGTTATAATTATATACTTACTATGAACTAAAATTAAAGATTGACATACAAAGAATACATTTTTCTATTTTTTTCTATACATATATAAATACATATTTTACATGCATATATATTATTTTAACATATGTATATAATATAAATATTATACAATTTCATTTTCTTATTAGGGCATATATTAGGTTATTATATTAATATCATTCATAGATAATAGTTTTATTATCACATACTATAATATATATTTATATATTACAAAATAACCATTTCGGTTGATATCATGAAGTAAGCAGACATGCACGTGTCACATGT